ATTCATAACAAAAAATTCAATAATTTTGAAACGAACCGAGTATTTGCTAGCCACACAGCGTAACTATAAATCTCAAATTCCAAATAAAACTAGAATTAAGGAAATTCAAACAACAAAAGCTCCACATAAAATGGAAAAAACCATAAATGATGCTTTTTGGTCGTATCCCACTGCTCATCAACAATCATAACAGCCAATGAATATATATTGTTTTTAGATAATTATTATGAACGCAAATTGGTACCTGTGGACCACATGGAAAAACTTGTCGGGCAAACATCGAGCTAAACTGACTATATTGTACATACAACGCTTATGTTCAACTTGGAGAGAGCGATCATATGGAAAACAAAAATATGTTGAAGCTTGACATCTTGAAGCTTATAACATGTGTGCTCACTATTATTTCAAAAATCGGGTGAGAAAGCAAACATCATAAGTTTTTAAATCGTGGTTCAACTTGATTCAATTATATCGGACATTTACATTTTCTTTTTAAAGTTAAACTATATCATCGGTTTTGGTCGGTCCGTTCGTCCTAATTTTTTTTCTATGTTCTACCTCTTCTCCTTCACTAAAAGAGCAGATGCACACATTTTTCCGTTTTGAGGCCTGTTGCTTCTTTATCACTACACATTCAATTAGTAATGAGATGGTAGAAGACTTCAACTCAATGGTGAAAAAACTTCCATATAACTTGTTTATCGAGACTTGGAAAACGTATCCTTCTTTGACAAAAATGCTTTTGTCGCAACACAGAAGAAAATGAGGTAGAATAATTGTTTGAAATAGCCGGAGAGAGAAAACCTAAGAACATTGTGCAAAACCAAGGATCCTAGATTCTCCATTGTGGCTTGCTCTATTTGTGGATATGTTTTCAACGATTCGCTTTGTGATTCGAGAACAGATATGAACCTTATCTTCGAAACACTTGTGGAATTGATGGTTCATTCACCACTCTAGTGGGTGAAATTATCGATCTACCTCTTAAGATTGAACATTGCCTTGTCCCAGTGGACTTTGAAGTGGGTATGTAATTCGCCGATTGCACCTTTGATTTTTGAGAAGTTCTTCTTGGCTACAAGATAATCAATCATGGACTGGGAAAATGAGAGAATATCATTTGCAAAAATTGAAAAAGAGACCTTCTATTACGCAAAACCTCCAGATTTTCCTACAAACCGTATTCGTTATGCTACTTTGAGCAAGAAAGAAGAATTAGTAAAATATCATCTTGATCCGCCTTTAAATGAAGATGAAGGTAAATGTGATACATTTAGGAGATCTAAATAAAGAGCTAAGGTAAAATTCATGCCCTTTTGATAATACATCTTAAGCCTAGAGATTTAAGGAGTCTGAGTTAAAAAAAAACTTTAAACGAGCGTTTTATGGGAGATAACACATATTTGATTTTATTTGAGTTTTTGATCTACGTTTTTAATTTTCTTTTCAATTTTTTTTTGAATTTTAGAGTATTATTATTCACTAAATTAATCATTTATTTATGATTTTTCAGGAATTTTATAAAAATATAAAAACAGAATTTAGGTGAAGAAGTGCAAAACCAACGATACGGTTCATAAACACATGTCCGAAACCACCCTTGTTTGTGACCCGTGCCCCTTGTCCCTCGACCAAAACAAACAAATGCACTTGCACCAATCACATATCTGTGACCGGTTCAAGGCTATCAAATTTTTGGCCTCCCAAAGTCTACGAATAATGGCCTACGACCCATGACCAGAGCATCTTTCACCAAAACATTCGACCCAGATCAAGCACCAATCGGTTGAAATGGTTTGGGACTCATGCCGATGCATGAGTACTACGCGCTCCAGGCACCCAACACCCTCGTTATGAATAATGGTCGAGGGATAGTGACTAGTGCTTGACCACAACTCGACCCATGTGCATGTGTAGAGTATTATTATTCACCAAATTAATCATTTATTTATGATTTTTCAGGAATTTTATAAAAATATAAAAACAGAATTTAGGTGAAGAAGTGCAAAACCAACGATACGGTTCACAAACACATGTCCGAAGCCACCCTTGTTTGTGACCCGTGCCCCTTGTCCCTCGGTCAAAACAAACAAATGCACTTGCACCGATCACATATTTGTGACCGGTTCAAGGCTATCAAATGTTCGGCTTCCCAAAGTCCACGAATAATGGCCTACGACCCATGACCAGAGCATCCTTCACCAAAACATTGACCCAGATCAAGCACCAATCGGTTGAAATGGTTTGGGACTCATGCCGATGCATGAGTACTACGCGCTCCAGGCACCCAACACCCTCGTTATGAATAATGGTCGAGGGATAGTGACTAGTGCTTGACCACAACTCGACCCATGTGCATGTGTCCACGATCAAGATGACTAGCACCGGTTACCATCCCATAACCAATGCCCATGACCTGTGGTCACATTTCCTCATCCCAGTTCAAGACGACTAGAGACCATCACTCACGTGATCGATGTCAGTTCTCAACCCACGAATGTATCTCTCTACTCACGGCTACATCCTTCCCCCAACCCGAGCTGTCCACGTCATGCTACTAAGCTTTACACTAAACCCACCACGCGACCATGGATACTACCTCAACCACGAACCACAAGCCCCTCGATCTAGCGTTATGACCAAATACCTAATTGTGTCCATGAAAAGGTAAAGTTTTATTTTTCTCGTATTTTCATTCAAAACCAATTTTAAAATATAAGTTAATAAATCATACGAACCAAAAATATTTTAAAATCTGAATTTTCATAAATTAATTATTTTTAAATCATTATACTTCACTAAATTTATTTTGAGAGATTTTATTAATTTACGAACGTTTGCACATCTTAACAAGTACAGTATACATCAATTTCTTATTGTTTTCACTTGGCATCAAGATTTTAATCAATTTGGATACACAATTAGGATCTAAGTTGTTCTTTATGTATTATCTTATAAAATTTTAGACCTAGCCTCAATATTCATTATTGAGAAATTTAGATCAAAAAAGACATTCAAGTGTTTTTGCATCAACATTTTTTTTTTTTNTGGACGCACAAATCAAATTGTCTAAGCAAATCCTCTGTCTGTGTAGCACTCACTACAAAAAAAGAGGTGGATTGTGTCATTTATTTTATGAGTTTAAATCATTTTTCGACTGACACAACTGAAATTACATCACTTCTATAAGTGACTTTAAACATGGTGACTCTAATTTTTTGTATCAATGAAAAAGACCGATACAAATATTTTCATCATTTATTATAATTGATGTTAATATGTATCACTTATAAAAAATAAAGCTAAATCTTACATCACTTTGTATATATGATGTTAAAATATATTTTTTTACGGCAATCAATTTGTGAAAAATCCTTTTTTATTTTTTTCATAAATAATTGTAACAATATTATTATTTATCAGTAGTAATTTATTATATTGATCAACCAA